GACAGGAGTTAGCTAGATGATGAAGTATTTCGATTTTTTAGTTTTATTTGGGAAAATCTAAATTTTGTCGAGAAGATCGGCTTTAATGATAAATTGTGTTATGGCATTGAAGATGTAGGGGGGATTGGAGGGTTGGAAGAGTAGTGGAAGATTGTGTTTAAAGTTTGGAGGGATAGCTTGATAGAGTTCAGAGCGAAGAGAGTTATAGAAAGGACAGCTGTTAAAAATATGGTACAAGTCTTCAGGGTATTTACAGTATGTACAGGTTCCGTCTGGGTGTCTTCCTTGTTTGTGTAATGTTTGGTTGAGAGCTGTGTTACCGCTAATAATTCTGGAAATGATGTTGTCTAGGTGATTGGATGTGTTAAAGTTGCGACATTTAGAATTGGGACGGGTGAAGATTGATCTGAGCCAGACGGAGTTACAGTTTTGTATAATACTATTGTAGTTGTGGAGTTTTATGGATCTCTTGATTATATTCTTGGTTTCTATCTTGGACGTGTGGAAGTATATTTCTAGTGATGGTTGTTGGGTGGCTACTTTGGCTGCGGTGTGGGCTATGTTGTTACCGGGTATGTTGGTGTGCCCTGGGACCCAGAGTAAATTAATAAGTTTGTTTTTTTCCTTAAGTTGGTTGGGGAGAGTGATTATATTAGCAATGAGGTCAGGCCGGGTTTTGGAGTGTTTATTTTGTATTTGTTTAAGAGATGAAAGTGAGTCGGAGATGATTAGGAATTTTTGTTGGTTGATTGTTTTAGTAGCGTGTATTGCAGTTAGAATGGCTAGTAATTCGCCGGTGTTGTTGTTTGTGTGGTTTTTATAGTGGAAATTCGTAGTGAGCGGGGGTGTTTGATCTATATGTAGTCCTAAGCCTGTGATGTTGTTTGATTGGGATGCGTCTGTGTAGATGTGGGTGTGCGTGGGCCAGTTATTATGGATGTGGGTGAGTGTTAGTTTTGCCTTGTTTTCAGCTGGGATGCCATTGCTAGGGGTGAACCGTGGGTGAAGGGAAGTGTCTACAGGGGGGAAGGAAGGTCAGCTATGAATTGATTTAAAGGGGGGGAGTGAGTTATATTGTTTAGATTGTGGGTGATTAGTAGTTTATGTAGGTGTGTGATGTATGGTGCCTTGTCTGGAGTGTTTTGAAATTTGTGTAAAGTCTGTTTGTTGATGTTATCGTATTTTTGTTTTATTGTTTTGAAGATTGGGTTGTGTTGGGCCCCAGCCCAGTAGTTGAGGATAGTTTGTTGGATTTGGTGTTTGATGGAGAGTGTATTGGTGATTAATAGGAGGGCGTTGTGTGAAGTCCCAGTCCTTGTGCCGGTAGCTAACTTGAGGGCTTTGTATTGTATTGATTTTAATTTGTTGTAGTTAGTGGTTGTAATGCCGCTTAAGACCGGAGCGGCATAGTCTATTTTTGATTGGATGAGTGTTTTGTATATGTTGAGTAGGGTTTGTTTGTCGGACCCCCATTTATTACCTTTGATTGCTCTCATTAAATTTAAATCTTTTTCGCAAGAATTGACCGTTTTCAGTACTTGGGGGCCCCATGTAAGGTGTTGGTCGAATGTGATACCTAGGAATTTGGCTTCTTTTTGATAGGTAATGTCTTGATTATTAAGGTGAAGTTTGGGTGTATAATTTTGCATATATTGTTTTTTGAATAGCATGCCAATGGTTTTTTTAGTGTTTATTTGGAAACCCCACTTGGAAGCCCAATTTTGAATATTATCTAGGACGGATTGGATTCTTGTTTTTAATAGATTAATGGAGGCCGAAGAGCTCCAAAAGGAAACGTCATCTGCAAATTTGGCAGTTGTTATTTTGTCCGAGTGTTTGACGTCTGAGAAAATGTCGTTAATCATGAAATTAAATAAAGTTGGTGATATAGTTGGCCGTGCTACTGGTGTTAGCAAAATGGTTGGCTAGGTGGTTGGCTTTATCTTTATTGGTTGGGCAATCTTTTAAATTGGGATTGGCGAATTTTCGGGGGTTACCTTTGATTGCCTTAAGCTTTTTCCAGATTTTTCCTGAGTTATTATCCCCAATTTTTAGGGAGTTACAGAAAAGTTGCCAGTGTTGTTTTCGGGCTGTTTTTATTAGTTGTTTGGTGTGGTTTCTTAGATAAATAAACTCAGGGATCTTTAACTTGTTTCTTTTACTTTTATTTAGGGCTCTTTTTCTTTGGATTCTGGCTGTTTTGATTTCGTCATTCCACCAGGGGACGGGGTTGTGGGAGGGGGTTGGTCTGGATGTGGGGATGCATTGTTTGGCGATGTCGAATAATGTATTGGTTAGGTTGGTGTTGAAGGTGTCGATATTGCTGTTGTGTATTTTAGGGGGTCAGTTTGATTGCAGAGTTTTGTAAAAAGTTGCCAGTTGGCTTTGTGAAAGTTAAAGTTAATTTGTTTGGTGTTGCCGGGGGGGAGTTGTTCGTTGTTTGTTGGGGGGGGGTTGGATGAGATTTGTTTCAATTTTGATGGGGCAGTGGTCACTGCCCCAGGTGTCAGTGTTGGCATCCCAGCTGGTTTGTTATGAGAATTTGTTTGTTATAAGTGTTATGTCAACTGCTGTGGGGTTTTGTAGGCTGGATGTTGGGTATCTAGTGGGTTGGTTGTCGTTAAGTGATATGAGGTTTGTGTTATCTATCCAATCTACCAGAAGTCTTCCGAATTTATCTGTGTAATTTTTTGTTCCCCAAAGTGGGTGATGAGCATTAAAATCACCAAGTATTATGGTGTTAGGTGTTAAGTGCTGAGATAGTATTACAAGATCCTGTGTGTTAAACGGCATAGTTTTTGTGTGATAAATGTTTATTATTCTAATGTTAGTTTTGTGGAAAGTTGTATCTATGGCTAGTGTTTCCAGGTTTGGGGTAGGGATTGAGACGGTGTTGTAGTGTAGTGTATTGTGAATGTATAGAGCGAGTCCTCCGTGGGGGGGTCCGGGGGTGTTCTGTGGGCGGGGGCGGTCTTTGCGGAGCATTTGGAACCCGGGAATTTGGAATTCTTTCTTTGGTGAGAGGAAAGTTTCCTGAAGGGCAATGATGTATTTTTTTAAGGGAAATTAGGGCTTTAAGTTCATGACCGTTGGCCCGCAGGCCGTTACAATTCCATTGTATTATAGACATAATTGGGTTGGGTCAAATGGGGGTGTGTTGGGGTGGGGTGTAATGGGATGGGTAGGTTTGTAGTTATTGTTTTTGTTTGAGAGTAGCTGTTTGGAGAGATGCGAAAGACTTCTGGTAGATTTTGGACTTAATGGCCAGTGTGTGTAGTTTTTTGACTGTGGGATGTTTGAATATGATGGCTGCAATTATGAATTCTACTATTTTGTTTGTGTTGTTGTAGAGTTTTTGTGGGGTGATGTGGGCTGGCGGTGTAGACTTGAGTTGATGTAGTTTGTTGGTTAGGAGTTCCTTTCTATGTTTGGAGATGTTGTGTGGGTGGGGGGTGGGGTTGATGAGTGGGGGGATGGGGTTAGTGGGGGGAAGTTGGGCGGGGTGTGTGTGGGGGGGGGGGGGGGGGGGGGGTGGGAGTAGGGGTGGATTGGGGTGGTAGGGAGGTGGGTAATGGGGTTTGGATAAGTTTGGGCCGGGTGGATGGGTTAGGGTGGGGTGGGGCAGGCTGGGGTCTGGGAGATTATTGGGGGGGTAGCGGTTGGGTTGGGGGGGGTAGGGGGGGGGGTAGGGTAAACAGGGGGGGCGCGGGCCTGTGTGGTGGGATGGGGTGAACATCGGCTGTGATTGTGGTGATGTTGGGGGGGGGGGGGGGGGGGGGGGGCCTTGGGCTACTTGATGATTGTAGGCCCTTTGTTGGGGTAAGGTGGTTGGTAGCTTTGGCTGGGTGGGGGGGTGGTTGAGTGTAGGAGCTAAAGGATGAGTCCAGGTCGTGATCAGTGGCAGGATAAAGGTCATCTGGGTTGTCCTCTGAGTAGTATTGTAGAAGGGGGATTTTGGCTGGTTTGGGAAGGTCTGTTTGCTTGAGATTTTTATTTAGATTAAGTATGTGTTTCTGTTTTATCGGGCAGGATTTTTGGTTTGAGGTGTGCCCCTCCTTTTGTTATTTTTTGGGAGTGAATAACACTGCTAAACTGGTAGGGGAGATAGTATGGCAACTTATCTATGAAGCTTGGTAGATTGTCCCGTGTCCGTGTGGGGGGGGGGGGGGGGGGGGGGCTTGGGGGTGAGTCCCAGTGTTTTAATGGCGGCTGGCCAGCCGGCTTGCGCTGGGAGTCCGAATCCCGGGCTTGGGCTTGTGGCCGGGAAGGGGTGTTCGAAATCCCAGTAGGCTAGTAGAGTGACGAGTTGTTGATTTCCGTGATTAGACTGTTGAATAGTATTGTATATAGATGTGTCCTAGGACAGTTAATTTGCTTTCCAGGCCCGTATTGGGAACATGACTTCTCGCTCCAACGAAAAGGTAAACAAAAATGACGACGACGACTCAGCAAGTTAGGTTAGGTTCCTAGGAGATTTAACGTGCGCTTTCCGACTCAAAGCGTATTTCGCACACGGGGAAGCACTTTATACTATTGGGAGAAAAAAAGCGTAATGAATAAATAAAGAAGTGCGACCCAAAAAAATGTAACTTTTACAGGACTAATCTAATAAAGCTGCGGGGGGTGGGAGGTAATAAAATACTCAATAATATGGAACAGTTGGGGCGTGGGTTGGAGGCGAGGGGGTCAAGCGTGGGAAGGCACGGCGTCGGCAGGCGAGCTTGTGTGGCGACCAGAGGCGTTTACAGGAGAACGCCAGTGAGGAAGAGGTTTGCGAGGTGGCTTTCCTCCCGGGAGATAACTGGAAAGAATCCGTCGACGAGGCGGGCTGCCATGGCGGCGACGAAGTTGTGTGAGTAGACAACTTCGCTCTGTTCCAGGAACTCCTTGAGGTCCTTGAAGCTATGGATGTCATGCTCAAAGCGTTCGCCCTCTATGGTCTGGACCATAACCATGGCTGGTTGGGGGCGACTGCTTGGATGGATCCTGTTAGTTCGTTTTCAACAGGCAGGTGGTGGTAGATGTTTGAACTTGTCCTTGATTCCTGCCGCTACCCGGGTGAGTAAGATCCGCGCGTCCTCTGGCATCTCCTTTGGCACTCGGACCGGGATGGTCTGGGTGTGGCTGTCGCGGAGAGTCGGGACTGGTGGTGGGGCGGTCTGGGTGTGGCTGTCATTGAGTGCAGGGCCTGGAGTGTCGGCGGTCTGGCACTCTATGGACTGGGTGGTAGGAGTAGCTGGGATGGGTGTAGTGTCAGGGGAGAATATGCTTCTCCTCTTCCTCTTTTTCCTCCCATGTCCTGTCCCCTCGGGTGAGCGGAAGGGCTCCTCCCCCCTGGAGTCGAGGGGAGCGAGCTCCGTCGCTGCTGTTGGGGGTGGAGGGGTAGTGGGAAGACTTTCCTCGATCTCCATGATGGATACTGGAGGGGACTTCTTTACCTTGGGCGGCCTTTTCCTCTTCACCGGGAGTGGTGCAGCGGGGGTAGGGGCCGGGGCGGGTTTCTCCTTAGGCTTGGTCTTGGCCGGGGCTTTGACCAGAGGCCTCTTTTTTTTACCTAAGTCAAAGATGATGGAGATGGTGGAGGTTTTGGACTTATAGGAAGTCCTGAGGGAGTAGTCCCCAACCCGTTAAGCCAGCAAGGGCTCCAGGATGGAGACAAGCTCCCTCGGTAGTGACCTAGAGATATCTCTCATAGTCGGTTGGAGTGTTGAGAGCTTGGATGGACGTGTTCGCAGGGCAGAGAGAGATTTAGGAGATTTTACGACCGCTTCAGCCGTCGGCTATTTCGCAGTCGGGGCCAGGCGGGTTTTAATGTAAACAAACAATAATGGGGAATAAGGGTATAATCGACTGGCCCAAAAAACTATAATTAAAGGAGAAAAGAGAGAAAAGAAAACAGTAAAGTTGGTGAAAGGGATAAGATAGTTTAGTGGGGAGATATGCAGCTGTGAGAAACCTATGCTACTTTAAGAATCTAGTGGGAAAGACAAATACTGGAAAAATCAGTTAGGCTGATATGCTAATATAGTGATATCACTATTTAAAAATAAGATTTAAGGTAAGGGGGGAAGTAACCTAGTCTACCAGTAACAATAAAAAAGAAAAAAGGACTCTTGGTTATTTACGGGGGGGGGGGGGGGGGGGGGGGTGTCAGGCATGTGTGTGTGGGGGTGTGTGTCTGGAGCGAGTTGGCTGGGCTTGGGTATGTGGCTGGGTAATTGAACATGATACTGTGTGGCTGGTTACGAGAGAATTTGTCGCGCGGGTGTATGGAGCGAGTTGGCTGGGCTTGGGTATGTGGCTGGATAAATGAACATGTAAATGAGTGGCTGGTTATGGGAGAATTTGTCGCGCGGACGTCGGAGAAGGCAATCCGCGCTGAGAATTTGGATCCCGATCCTAAATTGTAGAAATGGTGATTTTGTAAATAGCTGTTATTGACTAAGATTTGTTTGGGATGGTTCTAAAGTCTGTGAATTAGGTTTGTTGACTTTAGAAATTTCGCTATGTGGGTGAATTTAGATGGGTTATCAGTCGGGTTTAGTAGTAAAATAATGTTGTTTCTGTAGTGGGGTGGGAGGGAGTTGTATAGATGATTTTGTTGGGGTTTGTATTGTTTGCAGTGGTTGAAGATGTGATCTAGATTTTCTGGTATATTACAGTGGATGCAGTTAGGGTGGGGGTGTCTGTTTTGTTTGTGGAGTGTTGCATTTGTGTTGATTTGGCCACTGAATATTCTGTTAATGATTTTATCCGTGATGATTGACTTAGTAAAGTTTCGACATTTGGTAACAGGTTTGATGAAAAGTGATTTAGTCCAATTGGACTTTAAATTTTGAATGTTGATTTGGAAATTTTGACTATTTATGTTTTTTCTGATTAATGATTTGACTTCGGCCTTACTTGTATTGAAATTTATGCAGGGGGATGGGTGTGTGGTGGCTAGTTTTGCTGCATGAGTTTTGAGTGTATGAAATTTAGAATTCTACCATCTATGTCTTTTTCTCTAAGTTTTTGAATCAGGCCGTTATGCCAAACCATGTCGAAAGCTTTACTAAAGTCTATAAAAATGGCCAGAGTGTATTGTTTCTGGGCGAGTGCAGTTTTGACGTCATGTTCCAGGTGTAAAATATGATCTAGTGTTTGGCAGTTTGATCTAAAGCCGCTCTGGTCCTCCTGTAGAAGGTCATGGGAAGAAATTTGGAATTTTAATCTATTATTAATAATGGATTCCATGATTTTACAAATATGGGACGTCAGAGAAATAGGTCTATAGGAATCCGGGTCTTTTGAGGGTTTCCCTGGTTTTAGAACCGGTACTACCTGTGCTGTTTTCCAGGATTGGGGGATGGAGCCAGAAGTCCAAATTTGATTGTAAAGTTGTAGTAAAAGTTTTTGAAATTTCAAGGGGAGATGATTAAGGATGATGTAACTAATATTGTCAGGACCTGTGGCTGGGGCGGAGTTTTTGCTGTGGATGGCTGTTTGTAGTTCGTGGATGTTTATTATTTTGTTGAATGCTTTGTGAGTAAGGAGGGGGGGGGGGGGCTTGGTGTGTAGGTGGGGTGGTTTTTGATTGTGTTTTGCATGCTTGGGATGTGGTTGGTGGAGCTACTAGTTGCTGAGAAGTGAGCAGCCATGGCATTAGCCTTTCTTTATCTGAATTTAAGTTTGGAAAGGTGGGGAATGAGTGGGCTTTTGAGTTACCTTTTATTGATTTAAGTTTTTTCCATAGAATTTTAGTATTTTGTTTTCCCATTTTCAAGGTACTTGTAAATTGTTCCAAATGTTTTCTTTTGGCCGCTCTTATTAGTTGCTTAGTAGAATTTCTAAGAGCTATGGCTAAGGGGATTTTAGTTTTATCCCGCTTAGCCTTATTGAGAGCTTTTTTCCTTAACTTTCTAGAATTTTGAATGTCGGGGCTCCACCATGGGACTGATGTGTGGTTGGGGGATGTCTTAATGGTGGGTATGCATTGGATTGCTATTTTGTGTACTGTGTTTGTGAAATTGGTGTTAAATGTATCATTGTCTTGATTGTGTATGTTGTGGATGTCTATTTGATTGCACAGGTTGTTGAATTTTGTCCAGTCTGCTTTTTTGAAATTAAAATTAAATTTCTGGGGGGGGGGGGTCTGAAGGGGGGTGGGGTGGGGTGGATGGTTGGTTAGTGCTGGGGGGGGTTATGGATGTGGAGATTTTGATGGGGAGGTGGTCGCTACCCCAGGTGTCTGAATGGACCTCCCAATTTAATTTAGAATGTAGGTGGGCTGTGCAGATGGAGAGGTCAATGGCGGTGGGAGATTGGAGGGGGTTGAGTGGAAATCTAGTAGGTTGGTTGTTGTTGAGACATATAAGGTTGTTAGTTTCAATCCAGTTGTTAATGAAGTTACCAAATTTATCAGTATAGTTTTTTGTGCCCCACAGTGGGTGGTGGGCGTTGAAATCACCAAGAAAGAGTGTATTTTGATCAATAAATTTTGTTAATATGTCTAGGTCCTCGACTGCTAGGGGTTTTGTTCTAGAGTGATAGACGTTAATAATAGTTATATTTGTTTTGTTAATGGAGATTTTTATAGCCAGGCATTCCAAATTTGGGGTGGGGATGTCTACTATGTCATAATTTAGGTCTTCTTTGATGAAGATGCCCAGCCCTCCATGGGGGGGGGGCCTGGGAGATTTACTGGACGTGGTCTATCCTTCCGAATGAAAACATAGCCTGGAATTTTGAAGGCTTTTTTGGGTGAGATTTTAGTTTCCTGAATTGCAATTATCAAAGGTTTAATTTTGCCAAGGGTGATGAGTGCCTTGAGCTCATGTCCATTTGTGGTGATTCCATTACTATTCCACTGCAAGAACACCATTATCGGGTTTTAGAATGGGGGGGCAATTGAGTCTGAATAGAATGGTGTTCTGGGGCTAATTTTGAAGATGTGGGTAGAGATTGGGAATTATTTGAGAGCTCTGATAGCTGATTGGAAGTTTTGAAAGGATTTTTGGTATACGGTGGTAAGGAGGGCCAGTGAGTGGAGTTTCTTAAGGTTGGGGTTTTTGAGTAAGATGGCTGCAGAGAGAAATTCAATTAGTTTGTTTGTGTTGTAATGAAGTTTTTTGGGTGTGACTGCTGGTTTGGGGGTTGTCTTGAGGAGTTGGAGTTTGTGGTTGAGTAGCTGTTTTCTGGTGGTGTTTATTTTGTAGTTTATTTGTCTGTTTTTGGCTTGTTGGTTGGAGGGGACAGGGATGGCTGACTTGGCTGGTTGGGGGGCTTGGGGTTGGGGGAGGGAGGTTTGGGGTGGGAGGGGGAGAGAGAGTAGGGGGGTGGGTACCGGTAGAGTGGGGGTGGGGGTGGAATGGGTTGGAGCGGCTTGGAAGGTGGGTGGAGGGTTGTGAGTAACAAGGGTGGGTAGCAGGGCCCTGGGTGGAAATTGGTCCATGGGGGGCCTGAGGGGGGGAATGGGGTGGGGTGGGGGTGGGGGGGCCAGTTGGTAGGGGATGGGTAGTAGTGGGGCCGACAGGTGGGGGTAGGCCGGGGTGGGGGTGGAGAAAAGTTGTTTACGTTTGGTTTTGGGTTGGGCTGGTGGGGGGGGGGGGTTGGGATAGGGAGCTGGCCATGGAGTCTGACGATGTATTTAGGTCGTAGTAGTCGGGGATGTTGCTGTGGGGGATGGCTGCTGGTTTGGGAAGGTGTTCTTTGGTGATGTGTTTGTTTAGTTTCAGTATGTGGGTTTGTTTAGTAGGGCAAGTGTTTTGTGTAGCTGTGTGGCCTTCCACCTTGCATTGGATGCAGTATGGGGCCCATGTGCATTCTGTGGCTTCGTGGCGGTACGAGCCACACTTTTGGCACATGGGTGGCTCACGACAGGTGGATGTGGGGTGATTAAAGGAGTGGCATATGTAACATTGTTGTGGATTTTTCCTGACGGGGTGAACTTTGTATGTAAGTGTGCCGAAAATAATATGGGTGGGTAGGTTGGTAGTTTTGAATGTGATGAAGACTGTTTGTGTGGTTGTCCTGCCCAGAATGGGTGTACGATTGTTTATATTCTTGAAATTTGTAATTTTTGGTTGTGTCTGAATTTTGTTTGCCATGTGAATGTATTCTTGGATGTCTTGTTGTGTGTCTCTGTGATCTATGTGTATGACTCCCTGTATTTCTGTGAACCATTTGGGCACCTGCCATGTAATGTTTAGTCCATCAATGATGGGGTTTTTGCTTGCATGTATGAGTGATTCTTGTGTTTGGAATGTGAGTTTGTACCCTCTGCCACATCTGTTTATGTATTTGTAGGTTATGTTGGCTTTGTGTAGGCAGAGGGCGAATTTGTTAGTGGAGAATGTGTCGTTGAGGGGTGTGGATGTTGTTGAAAATGCTAGGAGGATGTATTTTTGGGGGGTGGATGATTGCGGGGGTGTTTGTTGTGAGCAGGTTTTCTTTTGGGTAGTTTGAGACTCCAGGGGTGAGTGGGAGGGGCGCTTTGTTTGTTTTTGGGATGGTGGTTTTTTGGCAGTTGTGTTGTGGGGGGGGGGTGGCAGTTTGTTGGGGGTGTTGCTGGATGACTATGTGTGGTTCTAAATGGATTTGAGTTTGGGATTGGGGTGTGTGGATTTGCTGAGGGGGGAGGGAGGGGGGGGGGGGGGGGGGGGTCTGGGGGGAGAATGAGCTCCTCCAGGTCTAAGCCAAAATCTAGGGGGATTGGGTTGGAGATGTTTGTGGGTGTTAGACCTGGGAAGTGTTTGTTGCTATGGATGGGGGTGGTAAATAGCGATGTTGATTGGGGTGATGTATGGGTCGGGGAGGACATGATGGTTTGGGTTGGGGGGAGGTGGGGGGGGGGTGAGGGTAGAATGAAATACGGTATGGGCGACACAGATATACAATGAAACAAAAACAAGAGAACTTTGGGGGTAGAAAGGCATGCAAGTAAGAGGATGAGGGGAAAAAGGAATGAGTACTTAGCAGTGATTGAGAGAAGTTGGCGAGACGTGACTAGTGAGCTGAGATCTCTTGGCCAAGCGTAGCGGAGTCTAGGCAGAGGTGATGGCACTCTGAGTTCGAGATCCCACAGTGGTTTCGATATAGTTCGTAATCCCAGGGGTTTTGTATTGATAAACTTGATAAACTTGGTTGATTTTATGGAGCGAAAAAATGGCGACCGGCCATACCGGAAGTAAACAATATATGGAGACATCCACCCATAGCCGACAACAACAAGCCCACTACCAATCACGCCGACACACAGCCTTGCCCCCACCACCCACCCCCCGCAGGGCAGCTTACTTACTTACTTATATTAGGAGATTTTACGTGCGCTTTCCGACTGGAGCGTATTTCGCACACGGGCCAGGCCGGGCCATTTGGTGAGATAAAAAGGGAAGCGAGATGGGTGCAACCAAGGAGGGGGGTTTAGTGGTTGCTTATATAAAATTTTGAAATTTTGAGATTTGGAAGACATGCCTTGGGGGAGTGGTTGGGACTAAGGGAGTGTTGTGGGGGTGAGTTGTTGTTTTTAGATGTTAGTGTTGGTGGTTTAATGAAGTTTTAGATACGATTAATTAGGTCTGATTTGGTTAGGTAAATGCCTAGGGCTTTGAAGTTTTCTATTTTATTTTGAGGGTTTAGGATTGCTTCTAAGGTAAGAGCTTTATTTGGATTTAGGTGGGTTTGTAATGTTGTACGGTGGGTGAGGTAGTGGGTGCAATGTAGTAGTACGTGGTCTATGGTTTCTGGGTGAGTGCAGTGTGGGCACTTCCCGTTTGCGTGTTTTTTTAGTTTTAGAAGATGGTTATTTAGTTTGGTGTGTCCTGTTTGGAGTTTGGTGATTATTCTATCGATTTTTTTGGATGGATGGAGGATTTTTGGTTTGGTAAGGTTTTTTTTTAGGACTTTTATGATTTGGGTGTTTGTGTTTTGATAGAGGCTATGCCATTTTTGGGTGATTTTGCGTTTGTTGATGCTTTTGATCTCTGCTTTACTTATTGGTAGCTTAAGGCTTATCTCTGGTATTTTTAGGGACTGTTTAGCGGCTTTGTCGGCGTTTTCAT